AGTTCTAGATTACTAGTCAAATGATATTACCAATGCACCAGCATCTCCCTTTTCTTCTTAAGTCTCAGATTCACACCTTCCTGTCTTATCGTTTCCTATTTGAATCATTTCAATTAATAATTTGGCTAAATGCCATTCTTAGTTCACAAAAAATTGTCCTCCTTCATGTCCATGCCCATACTGTTTAGCAATGTTTTGATTAGTGTTTCACATAGGATCAATCTACTTTAAAGAGATGTTGAATTGCTGAACATGCTGCAACTCACTCTTATCAATACTATATTGTAATTGGAGATTCTGTTCTTAAATTGCCAATTCTAAAATGTCACTCTTGTAAAATTCAGTGTTCTAGCTTGCTGCAATATTGACCATTCGTACTTCCACCCTTTGTGTCAAACATGCTTCAGTTTAACCAGAGGCTAAAACAGGTGGGTCCACAATGCTGATGTACTTAACACAACTCCCCCTTGACTTAGTGATCCATAACACACCATATACAGGCACTTGGCACTTTTGTATTTTTTAATTTAATCTGTAGTCCTGGCCCTTGAGACTAAAATGTTCGAAGGGATATCATTTCTTTTAAAATACTGCATGGAATAAATCTGGCAATGCAAGTGATGATCAGACTAAGGAATAGAATAGATATTCACTTATTTAGTGATTAACTGGAGTTGTAATTAACTTACTTCATGATGTCAGCCATGAGTCAAGTAATACTCTCATCTCCGAGATACAGGGCTTTGGATTCAAATCCTTCTCCAGGACATGAGCAAAAAAGCTCTGAGGGAGCACTGTCCTCTCAAATGGAGATGACGGATCCAAAGGCAGTATTTTAAAGAAGACCTGCAAGGTAATCCCCAGTATTGTGGTCAATATTTAATCTTCAATCAACATCCCATAAAAACAGATTATCTGATTATTATCATATTGTTGTTTGTAGGAACAGACTTTGTGCAAATTGTCTGCTGCATTTCCTGTATTACAGTTTACTTCAAAAGAATTTTCATTAACTGTAAAGCACTTTGAACATCCCATGGTCATGGAAAGTGTGATACAAATATAATTTGTATAAATTATAAATTATATAAATTTTCTTTTATTCTGCTTTGATTCTTCATTACAGCAGGAAAGCAGAATATTGCTCTGACTGTAAGCTCCTTGGAAGTGCTAAACTTGCTGTGTTCTTCTTTGAAAAGAGAACTTTTTTACTTGCATTCCTTGTTTAAAATACTAAAATGTAGCAATGCTCAAATGTTTAGCTGGTCATTACGAATTAGGGATAGAACAATTTGATTTTAAAGGGAGGAATCACAATTTCTTTTCCGAAATGAGAGCTTCAAAAATGTTTTTGGTGCTGAACATGTTGAACAAAAGAAATTATAGCAAAACTGGAGGAGACAGGTTTGATTTTGTCCTTTGAATCGTAAGAATTTGGATAGAAGCAGGGAATACATAGATGCAGCAAAGAAAGGATGATATGCAAATGAAGATTGAAAGGAAAGGACAATTAAAAGGGACTGCCAAAGTTGAGGGGCAAAAAAAAGGGCAAGTAGAGCATTGCATACTTTTGACAGCCTTTACAAAGGTAGGGCTAAGATGCTGATGAACAAAAATGAGAGGAAATCAAAGGTTTCAGGCATGAATCCAGGCTGATAAAGCAGCTCATCACCCAACCTTCTGCCACCCTTGGCTCAGTAATGAGCCCTATCTCACACACAGAGGCAGATTCTGTGGCAATATCCTGCTGTGGAAAAGCTCAGGAATTGAACAGAGTCCTCTTGTATCAGCTGATGTATAAGTAGTTCAGTTATGCAGTAGAGTGCTATTCTGCTGGAGAGGAAAGCCGAAAGAAAATCTTGTTGAATAAATCTGGTGCTTGGAAGTTGCTTAATGAGGTGACATTTTGTGTCTCGTCTGCAGCTGAAATTTTTGGTGTGTGTATATGTGCATTCTTTTTAAAAAAAATTGTAGATTCTGTTGGCCTCTTATTGCAGGTTTATGGTTGAATTCTCTATTATTTTTATCTAGCATGAAAGAATGATTAACCAGAAAGTAGGAGTGTAGCTGTACTCTTTCTCATTGCTTGGTTTCTTGAATATACCTCCTAGAAGCAACACGTGACAGAACGAGAATACGAGGCATCTCCATTCCCTGCCCTCTTTGGTCATAGGTTGAAGAATGGCCCCAAGGCATCAAAGATTAAGAGAAAGAAGAATTGGGTGGGGGGAAGGGATAAATCTCTAGCAGCTACATGGCAGACTGTGCTGTTACAATTCGGTAGAATTGCTTTAAGGGTGCTATTATATTCCTACTTTGGTGCGAGGAGGACAATGTTCAAAGGGCCACCTGCAATCTAGTTTAATTTGTTGGACTCTGCTGATTGTGGGCTGCTTTGCTGTTACTCTCTTTCTCTTCACCTTTGACAGCCATCCATGGCTCTCAGTAAAGCTGAATCATGAAGAGCATTGGAGTCACAGGACTGTACATCTTTTGAACTTTCAGTACAGTGTTGGAGAAGCATGTTAAGAATCAACTTTTAAAACAAAATAATTGAAAGAAGGAACTTGCTTTTATAGAACACCTTTCCCAACCCCTCTGTCTAAAAACAATTTTCAGTCAAGTTAAAAACCGAAAGAACTGCGGACGCTGTAAATCAGAAACAGAAACAGAAACAAAGTTGCTGGAAAAGCTCAGCAGGTCTGGCAGCATCTGTGAAGGAAAAAAAATCAGACGTTAACTCTGATTTTTTTCTTTACAGATGCTGACAGACCTGCTGAGCTTTTCCAGCAACTTTGTTTTTGTTTCAGTCAAGTTACTGTTGTAATGTGAGAAATGTAACAGATTTCTCACACCAAGGTCCCACAAATAACAATGAGGCAGTGACCCAGATAATCTATTTCTGTGATGGTGTTTTGAGGGTATAGATATTGGTCAGCACACTGAGGAGAATTTGCCTGCTCTTGTTCAAAATAGTGCCATGGAATCTTTAAAACAGACTTGAGGACTGAATTTAATGTCTCATCCAAAAGGCAGCACCTCTGACAGTACGGCACCTGAGTATTTGACACACCCTGTTTCAGCTTAAGGTAAGCAAGGTTAACCTGTTTTCTGGGCCCTACTTGCAAACTTGTAAGTAAAACCAACCTTGGAGAGCATGGAACTGCAGAAATCCCAATGCCCACATTGATCAGTGAAGGTAGCTTTAGAAGACAAGACAACCCGTGGCCAATTTCTCAACCAGGCCATCAATAAAAGGAGTCTTATTTGACTGCTCCATTTAAAAGGTGAATTTGAGCACAGGATAGAGCCCATGAAGACATACAAGGAAATCCTTACATGCAGCTGCAGATTCAATGAAGCAGACATATCATCTATGTTTGAAAATATGCAGAGAATCGGAGGTTAGATGTCATTCCATCAAAGACACAATCCTCATAGAATCCAGCAAAAACGTTTGAGATAGTTGGGCCTAGTGGAAATCCCATGGCAATACCATTGGTTTGGTCTCCATGATGTTGTTGAAAGGAACTCAGCTGCGCAAGTTGCAAAGTTCATGGGATCAAAAAATACTGACTCATAAAACAGCAGCAGATTTAGATTGCAATCTTATACTGCTGTAATATAGATGTAAGTACACTTCCTTGAATGGTACATTGATGAATAGGCTAACAATGTCAAAAGAGAACATTATCAAAATGCAAGTCTTAAATCGTCTCTTCAAAATTCACCATGAATGTGAAAATCTTGCTCAAAACCAACTGTAGCAAAGACATCCCACAACCTTGGATTGTATCAAGCAATATTTCCTTCAACAGTTCCCAACATTCAAGTTACTAATCATACCCAGCCAGTCCATGCTTGTACATCTTAGAATAGCATCTAATATCAGATGTGATTCTGCAGTTGGAAAACAGTTGCTGGATAATCCTGAGTGTGAAAAGAATTATGTTGAACCAGTTTAAGATTGTCAGTCAAGCGTGTGTGTGTGTGTGTGTGTGTGTGTGTTGTGTGTTTGTTTATATAGGAAGCTGTATATTTTAATACATAGAGCCTTGTTCTTTGAAATCAGAAAGAACATGTATACACAGGATACCTGTTTCAATAAAACACAAACACAATTACACTTATTCTTTGGGTCATGTTCCATGGCAAGATCTTGACCAATCGCATTTAACCTGACTGCATTAAAATTGAAACAAAGATTATCAGTTAACTGTCGGTCAACGTATAACTGGTTTCTTTTTACATGACAATGCCCCTAACAATTGAATCCATATGCCAGTCAGTCAGCACTTCTCTCTCATACAGTAATAAGGTTGTTTTCCCTTGATGTTCTATTTCTTTTCTTGACCAGTTTGTGTCTGTACAGCAAAAGTACTGCACTGTTTTGAAATGAGGCTTCCTGGAAAATCTAGAGATGTTTGTTTCTTTTTGGACTTGATGATCAAATGAGGACTTGACTGAATTGGGTTGCAGTTTTTTTTGTAAGGTAGGTTGCATAGTAAGGAGGCGGAGAGAACATTTAGAAATTAACCAGTAAATCCTTGGCAGCCTCTCTGCATATTGACCTACATTATTTTTTATGCTGAATTTTAGGAGTTTTGTTTAAAGCTTTGTGGAAACTGCTGTGTTACTTGAAAAACTGTCATTGCAGTTGGGAAGGTACAGGATCAATTGAATGTAGAATTACATTGAGACATCCAATTGTTGCTGCACTAGAAGCCGCGAAAACCGTTTTAAGTGGTTTGTTGAATTTTCCCATGCTAAGTTCTGGAGATGTTTAATTATTTAATGATTGCTAGAGGTTGTAACTTCTTCCCCTCAAAGTGAAGGCATGAAACTAATGGATATGAGAATTTCAGTTGGAAATTTCACATGAAACTGGTTTTAGGTTTTGCATAATATCTGCAATGCTGAGATGCATACTGAGGCTAAAACGTTCCAACCTATCCCCAAGGTAAAAAGACATCTAATTGATGCTGAATCTTGTCTTTCAGGGAATTGTTGGTAATTTAGCCAGTGGCAAGTCTGCTTTGGTCCATCGATATCTGACAGGAACTTATGTCCAGGAGGAATCACCTGAGGGTAAGCAAAGAGCATTTTGATTTTGAAATGTTTTGGTTTAGATTAAGAGATCAATTGAAGATACATTTTGGACCTTTCTGCTGTTCAGTCTAAAGGCAGCCATACAGGTTAGTTATTGATAGTCTGATATACAGGTAATGTTAAATAGGACTGCTCAGATTTAGAACATAAGTAAGATCACCAGGTCTTCGCCGAATGAGCAAAAGCAGCACCCTTTGTGGAGCTTGCTGCTTTTAGGCTTAGTTTGTACAGATCATGCTCAGTTGACTGAAATTCTTCAAATTGTACAGATTGTGCTGGAATAATAGTCCATGTAAGCTTACTCATTACTATTCAGTGGATAGCTGCACCACAGTGTGTGCTGTGATAGTTCCAAGTTTCAAAGCTTTCCCATGCTGAATTATCTGATCTCCTTTGGAATGGTTGACCCTTGGTGCTGCAGTGAATCTTGATGTCCTGGGAAACCTGGCCACATTTCCATATCACCACCTGCCAGAGTGCCTTTGTGGTGAAAGCCTCCGCTTTAATGTTCTTTTTGTGGAATAGCTTGACATGAAGAATGACCCATTGAGTGAGAGTGATGTGAACTAGCACCTATGTTGCTGTATAATGACAGCCACTGGGTGAGAAACACTTCACTCAATTATTGATTAGTAGAGGAAACATTTATCGGATATTGAGCTTCATTTTAAATAAACATGCTTACTAATTGTCTGGAAACAGCATGCCACTGCCCAAAGCTCCACGGCAGTTGTAGGACTTGCCTTGACTGATGTGCCTGTCACATTAGTGGTATATTTTGAAATTTCCTATGGTTACTTTAGAATGTCTTTTCTGAATGACCCGCATGTTGCTCATGGTATTCTCCATGCTTCCTGAGCACACAGCCTGTAAAAATGGGCATATCCATGCAGACCTATAATTTAAGGTTAAAAAGAGAAAAATATTAATAGAGTAGGATATACTGATGGAGGTTACTTTTTGCCTTCGTCTTTGCATTAGCTCTCACCCTTTCCCTGCCTCAAACCCAACACTAAAAGCTTTTTAATTGCGTTGTGGTTTATATCTGGTGTTTATACGCAGAATAATGCATGGAATACTTTATGATACATATTTCTGGAATGAAAGTAATTTGATGCTATATTTTAATATAATCCTTGGGTGATTCCTATTTCATCCTCCTAAATCATGGTGTACTTTGAATGTATCTGCAATTCTGTGTCTCTGTCTGTTTGCAAACTGTTTTATAATTACATAATTGCCTCTCTTTATTGGTTAGTGTGTGCTGTCAAAAAGGGCTAAATTTCTGCCACAGTTCTCAAATTTCTTTGGTTTTTTTTCTTACCAACATACATTTTTGTAAAAGCATATGTTGCTTTGTTCTGTTGAAATGACCTTGGAACAGTTTATTAACTATTAAAGGTTAAACCTGCTGTTTTCCAAAATAACGAAAGATATTAGATTATCTCTAGGGTCATTTTGCTTCCCAGACAGTCATTCTGTTAACACTGATCATCAATATCTACCCAGTGTAGCAGTTCAGCAGTGCTCAAACAAAAGCAATCTGAAATTTACAAACCAGCATGCTAATTCTATCTCAATGTACTAATAATTTAAATAGTCTGCGATAACGAACAAGCAGGATAAAATTGTGAGATTTTGAATTGAATTGGGCTTATTACTTCAACCAATAGGTACCTTAAATTTAATGCAGGATATAAAATATGTTTGTGAGGAGAGGTGTATTTTAATTTGTCTGGGAAACTGTGTTTCTCTACTTCCAAATATCGTGGTATTCACAAAAACTTGGCTGCATCCTGCTGGTCTGTGATTACCTGTTGGAGTTGTGGGGGAGGCAGGTGATTCCATTTTGCATTTTTTTTCTAGCTTTATTTCATACCCCCTCATGGTGTTGATCACTTGCTCTGATGTAATTCCATAATTGTCAGCGTTCAGGAATGATTCTGAACAATGTATGCCAATGTACCTCCACACAAATGTACTTCTCTGCTCTGCTCCTCTTCAGCAAAGTTTAATTGCTTTTGGAGCACTTAACTGTCTTTCCCCGCAGAATTTGCTTCAGGTCAAATGAGCATGCTGTGGCATCCTAGCCAATTACTGCCTGTTCTAAGACACTGAAAGCTGTTGCAGCAGCCTGTACTCCACTGGCTTGACATAGCTCAGAACTGGAGTTTGGCACCTTTCTTTAATTTACATTCTTTTCACCAGCAGCAGCAGCTTGTAGAGCCCAAAATCTACTGATACACAGTCAAGAATTATCTGCTTTGGCCTAAATTCCCAAATAGCACATTGTAAATATAATTGTATTTGTATTATTGAAATCCACTTTACTGATTTTATTTCTTGCTTTTGGAACTCTCAAACCACTCCTAAGTTTGAACTGTTTTCAAACCATGCTCATATCACACTTTGATACATCAATGTTAGATGCCCTGTTTCAAGAAAAACAGTCAATATTTATTAAAATAAGAAAACTGCAGTTTGCCAACCAAATGACTGAACGGGAAGCAATCTCAGGCTTCTAATTGATAAATTTGGGTTAAGACATTTAGAAATGCATGCTTGTACAAAATAGGTCAAGCACAAATGATCCAGAGGGATTAAGTTAAAAAGCACTGTCTCTGCAGTTGTGTTTGGCTTACTGGCATACACTAGGCAATTTAGGAGCAGTAAATGCGTGCCTTCAGTCATATTGTTACTGATGACTGGCTGTTCCATTCTTTGCAGACATGGATGCAGGTAATTGTACTCTCTGTATTCGTGGCAGCAGCAATCCTCTCTTCAGGAAGGAAGAGCTTCCAATACTGTACAGTACAGTTCTGATTGTTCCATGTGCCCATCCTTGTAATGTTGACACATCTCAATCTGTTTGTCTATCAGGCACCTTGTAGTAAATCCCATGTTTTCTGTCAGAATAATCATTTCCGTGGCAAATACTGTCTGTATTTATTCATTTATTTTGAATGTAGAAAACATCTGCCTCTGTTTTGCATGTTGCTGGAGAAAATAATTCCTGTTCTTTGACTATCTGTGTTTTTTTGGCTAATGGAATTGCACTGCAACCACAATGAAGTTGCCATGGTAACACTATGACAAGTGCCACCTGGAGTGTACTTAGTGGAGAACCAATATTCTAATTAGCAGTTTGTCACGATTAGCCTTCACTTTCCATTGAGGGAAGCTGACTTCAGGGAAACCTATTAATTCAAGATTTCTTCCTCCACCAACACATTCCTCCCCCCACTAACTTCAGATTTAAGAGTGCCATCTCTGTGCTTATCTTTCTTAACATGTTGAGTTCCTTCTCACAATGTCGAAGTCACATCATGGGCAGGTAGGTATCCCACCCTTTCAGGGTATTGAAATGGCTTTGATGACAGGCATAAATGACATCTCATATGTCTGTTACAAAGGCAACTCTCCTTCCTGTTACTTCTCAACCTTAGCCCCGATTGAGCCCTTGTCTATCCCGTCATACCAGAGAATTGCCATGGATAGCTTCTCTTACCATTTCCCCACAATTTCCTCCGGTGTCCTCCAAGAATCCATCTTTAACCTCTTCCTATTTCTCACTTACATTTTGTCATTCAAAGTGACAAAGTATTAATTCCTGCATGTTTACTGATGAAACCCAACACTATCTCACCCTATCTCTTGCGACTCTTCCGCCTGACATCGAATGCTAGATAAGCAAAGTTTCCTTTTATTAAATATTAGAATGATCGAACCCAATTGTTTTCGGTCCCCACCACAGATTCTGTTCTGTTGCCACTGACTTTATCCCTCTCCATGGCATTTGACGTAAGGCTGAACCCACTGTTTGCACTTCCAAATAGCATATGTTACCCTGAGATGAAATTGCAACCTCTTATTTCCACCTCCATAACGTCATGCACCTCCACGCCTGCCTCAACTCTTTGCAACCTTACCTTCATTAACTCTAGACACAACCATTTCAATGCAATCCTGACAAGCCTCCCACATCCAAAATGTTGCTGTCTGTCTCCTCACTTGCACCAAATTGCATTTGCCCATTCATGTTGTGCTGAGTTCCTGGTTAAACAATGCCTCAAGTTTAAAATTCTTATCTTTGTTTCCAAATCCTCCCATAATCTCAACTTTGTAGTCTCCTCCAGCCCAGTGACCATCCTGAAATATCCATCATTTGCTAATTCTGACCACTTGATTATCTCCAGTTTCAGTCACTTCACTTTGTGGCTGTGACATCCGTTACCTCGGCTCTAAGCTCTGGAATTCTCTCCCTAAGGCCCTCTGCCTTGTCAACCTCATTGTCTATCTTTATTAAAGAGGTCTAGCTCTTTAAGCAAACCTTTGGCCATCTGCCCTAATATCTTCTAATGTATCTTAGTGTCAACATTTGTTTTATAATGTCTCTGTGATGCACCATAGATGTTTTGTTACGTTAAAGATGGCATGTACATATCTTATGTGGGGCAGAAAATAAACAGAATAGCATATTATTCAAATGACAATAAATTGGAAATATTAGTGGATGGAAGGACCAGGGTATCCTTGTGATTCAGGCACTAAGAGCAAATATGCAGGTGCAGCAAGCAACTAGGAAAGCACGTGGCATGTAAGCCTTCACTGTGAGGGGATATGAGTATGGGAGCATGTCTTACTCCCCTGAAACCAAACTTGGAGTATTGTGTAATTTTGGTGGTCTTGCATAACATAGGATATATCTACCATTTAGGGAGTATAGCGAAAGTTCATCGCACCAATTCCTGGAATGACAAGTTTGTCAAAAGAGGAGAAATTTGATCAACTATGTCATGTTACCTGGAGTTTAGAAGAATGAGAGGGGAATCTTAGTGAAATGCATAAAATTCCGACAGGGCTAGACATACTGGATTTAAGGATGCTGTTCCTCCCGTATACAGGGGACCTGCAACAAGGGGCTCATAATCTCAGGATATGGGTACTTCAGTTTGGAATGAGTTGAGGAATAATTTATT